AATTGCGCTGTTGGACAAAAAATGAATGTGGCCATGTGGGACAGAACATATGGTGTTTTTTGAAGGGAACCTGCAAAATTCAATAAAGCACTTTAAATTAGACAACAAATTGGCTTTCCGCTTAGATGACTGAATAAACAGACTGTCAGGGCTTGAACTTCCGAACTTGGAGAGCACTCATTTTTGAGGCAAAATATTATGAAAATGTGTTGGTTTTACTGAAACTTTAGTCAACAAATTGAAGGTGACCAAGGCAGTCAGGTGGGGCATCTAAGCAATTGCCTTCATGGTCTCCAGGAACTTCAAGTTCTTAACCTTTTTTGCAGCTATCAAATAGCCTTTATCAGGTTTTTGTACAATGAAAGTCAAAGACTAGTAGTACATCAAATTTTTTTAATTGCTACACTGGTACCTGCAATCACAGATACTGTATCAATTCAAATGATGCACTGCATGTTCTTAGCTCAACATATTAATACAACTGATGAGACAAACTCATTTCAAATGAGAATGAGATGTATTCATTAATGTATATGTTTATATGTTCATTAACAGACATGATCATATTACATGCAAATATAATACAAAGACACGTCTAAAAACCACACTGGTCAGTCTGAAAAAACAATACCCATAATATAATCAGTCATTGCTCATTTTAATGGCAAAGCAAGCATTGAAGTTAAAAAAAAATATTGAAACTGAAAACATATAGCACATGTGTAATATAATGGTCAGTTTTCCTGACAAATAAGTCTAAATCTTAACTTTCAAGAATGTGCAGCAGAAGCTGATAAGCAATGAGGAAACAAGCAAGCACTCCCTGAAGGGACATCAACAGATATAAAACCAACAAAACATACAAGGTTTTGAAGCATGTGCCTGTCCTGGCATTTCAAGCAACCTCGTACATGTGCCATGTTCATTTGTACAGTATTGTAATATACAAAATGTACTCCGGGCTGACTGGGTTAAGGGTATCAATCTACATCTGACACATTGAATACTAGAAAAGAAGGCACTTTGTTATTGAAGAACACTCAATGACTTGATAACATGTATCTGACTGTACCTTCTTGTGTCTTGCTCCTTTCAAATGCTGTTGGTATACGACATCACTTGTACACTTGGCATCACATACCTGAGAAGAGCATACAATGGATTGTGCTCAGCACTAATTCTTATCAGTTTTATAGGCACATCTTCAAATGATGTGATTACTGTAGTATTGAAATGTGAATAACATGATAACATAATTTAACACAATGTTTTTACTAAATATCACAGGATTACATGCTACTTGTATAATAATTTGCATACTAATTAACATAATAATCAACATATCATTTTCAAAATGCACGAGTCACAATTTTTGTATTTAAATCAAAATGGAAATCATATAGATTCCTATCAGCGAACATGGCTCACAGTAGACCACAGAAGCTTATAGTTGCCACAGAAAAGGTGGATATGCAGCAAATTTATTACAGCCCCAATTCATGTTATATTCATTATATTTAAACACTACAGATCTGGGAAAAAACATCACTTTTAACATGTTTAACAACTTACATGACAAAAAAACTCATCCGGGAAAGTTGGTCCATCTCTCAGAAGTTTAGGGGTTTCAGTTTTAACTTTTTCAACAGCAGCAGCCGGGGCTTTCGAGACTTCATCACCAGTAAAATTCTATAAAAAAAAAATTCATTGCTTTATTATGAATGTCATATAGCCATGGTTTCGTAGAGTTGATGTCACATTTTGATGATCAAAATGTGTGGATAATTTCCATGGGTCCAATTGCCCCAAAGAATGCAAAATCTGGTAGCAATGCATTTCAAATGAGTTACCAAATGGGAGAATATTACAATTTCCCTCAAGTAAATTACATTTAGTACTGGATTAAATTTCTATTTGCTTTATTTACATGTGCATCTCCAATAGTGGTAAACTAAAATTCATAAAAATATCCCTTATTTTGATCACAGCAAAAGCTGTCATGTATGTAAGTCTGTGCTACAAATTTGGTAACCGTAATCACTTGACATCATTTTTGATCGTATTTCTTTTTTTACTAACAGTTTCTTTATTGTTATTAAAACAGACTTTCTATTCATACGAACATCTTTATTTTAATATTTTCCAGAACTCTTTATTAGTTTTCATGTCTTTAATTGAATGTAAAATTGCAGTTTTAAGAACAATTTAGCGGATTTCACAGTTCACAACACAGTTCCTCAAACATGTGTGGGCTGTAATAAAAAGTAACGAAATTGTTTGAATGTACTCACCGACAGTTTTAACCATATTTCGTCAGAGTTATGCAGTTTGAAATACTATCAAGATCATCAAAGTATGACCCAAACCAGCAAAACCATGGCAATACATATCTAAATTTGGAGCATTTTGGGTAAAGATTGAGTACTGCCATTTGCCACCATGTATAATGTAATTCAGACCGGACTACATTTGTATATCAAAATATTTACAATCGTTTTCACTAAACATTGGACAATCAGATTGTGGTAAATGTTGATACATCAGAGCAAGTACCTAATGAAATTGCCACTGATTTTATCACTACTAATCAAAACATCATAACTGTAGCCTAAACATGTTTCATACAATGTATAACTGTCTGTACTCAACTCATTTACATAAAATGTTACGTTTGTGTGTGTCCCAGTAGTGTGTCCAGACACCCAGAGCATACAACGCGGGAAAGTCGGGAGTACATGTAATTTGTTGACAAAATGCAGTCTCATAATTCGACACACAATTTAGTGCAGTGTTCTCCACAAGGGGTTTTAGGTGGGCGGCCCGCCCATCAAGTTGTACGGCCGCCTAGTAACTCTCAACACCCGCCCACCAATGTACATCCAGCTGAAATTATTTGTAAAAAGCTTGCATTGTTCTTCCCAAGCCTAAACAAAAGAGTAGTTGCCCAACCCTTTAGTTTGCTATTGTTCATGAGTCCAAACATAAA